GTTTTCTCTCTCTCTCTCTCTCTCTCTCTCTCTCTCTCTCTCTCTCTCTCTCTCTCTCTACATATATATATATATATATATTCTATTAGAAAATGCAAACAGGGTTCTTGGCATGAACCCTTTCTCTGTCACAGTATTCCCAAATTAACCTTGTTCTGTAACTGTCAAATTCAAACTATGGGTTCTTTTTAACCGCACACCCTGGAGTATAAAAACGAAATTAACAACTTTAGGGCAATACATGTGATTATGTACACCTAAAAGTTGTTAATTTTGTTTTTACACAGATTCATTGGTAAGCCTGCAACAGGTACCAAGTGTGTCTGTAGCTTTCCACCAGTAAACATTACTTTCATGCCATTAGAGTACCAGAGCTCACAAGCCCATAAGAATTGCTCCCATGTGTAGAGATCTACTGGAAATATATCAGGATGATCATAGGAAATAACTCATCATAATGGGTGCGCAAATGCTCTTTAGCTTGCAATATTTCTTCTAACAAGGTTTGCACGCAATACGTGCAGCTTCCAGTTCCAGTGCCTCACTGGAGACATTCTCCTTCTCCCAGCTGACCAAATGCACACAAAAGGGAAACTCATCGACTCGAAGGTGTTGGGCGTGAAGGTGGTGGACTCGAAGAAATTTCAAGGTATGTGTAGAAAATTCTAGCGGACTAGGTTGAGGTCCGGCGGGCAGCTAAGATGAGGTTGCCGCCCGCCGGGGAAGCGAAAATATTAGGTTTTAAACCTGCTCTGATACCATGTTGAAATTCAATGTATAAAGAGAATTGTATTATTGATTGATGTATGTTATGTTTACAATGATTCCTATATATAGGAGAGGGTGAGTGTGTAGTAGGTGAGGAGTAGGTGAGAAGTAGGTGGAGAGTAGGTGAAGTGGGTGGAGTAGGTGTAGTGGTAGGTTTTGGTACATTTTAACAATAGTTTATAGCTTCCTCTAATTTGAACCATAAAAAGACCAAATTGGTTTATACAAAAATACCACAAAAGCCTCAAAACCTGTGAAGCATGATTATTTCAACAAACACGCCGTACTCGTACCCAGCGTTATTAAAGGCGATAGGCGCACCAAGGCACCAAGTTTTCTTGGGGCCTAGGCTCAAGGCGCAAGGCGAGGCACAGGCTTCACCGAAGTGAGGCACACCTTGTACGGAAAAAAATATACAATTTAATATAATTAAGGCCTAGTTTGGGAAGATTGAAAAAAGACAAAAAGTCAAAAAGTCATTATCCTATTTAAGTCACATCATCTTATTTAAGTCACATCACCTCTCTAACACATCACTTCAAACCCAACCCAAACCCAACCCATATTTCATAAAAAGTCAAAAAGTGCACTTATTTAGTCTTCCCAAACTAGGCCTAAATAATTTAGGGTTCAACATAAACAAAATGAAATGTTAAACATTTAGTATTATTTAGAGATTAGAAATTAAGGCTAATTTTTCTTCTATCATTGGTTTTGGGTTGAATGCCCAACGTATTGGCATATGTAATAAGAGTATAGATCTTCTGTAACTGCACCATATTAAATCAATGGTTAGATTTTAAACAAAACCAATTAAAGCAATAATAAAAAAAGCCCTCAAGACGCAAGCCATGGACCAGTCAAGCGTCTTATCATAGTTGCGTGGCCTAGAACACTACAAAGCGCAAACCTTGGGCCTAGATGGGACTTGGGCCTAGGCGCATGCCTAGGCGAGCCTTATTGAAGTCGCCTGGCCTGGAATACTACAAGGCGCAAACCTTGGGCCTGGATGGGACTTGGGCCTAGGCGCGCCTTTAATAACACTGCTCGTACCAAGTACTTATCGGCGTATGGTACTTTGTATGATACTTCTTTGAGATTACACATCTATTAACTCTTCTTGAATCATTGAGATTACACATCTATTTATAGGCTAAAGACTCCTAATTCTATAAGGACTATAACTCAAATTTAGAAACTAAAAATATTTAGCGACTATTAATATTCTAAACCAACTATAACTACCAATTCTACTTCAATCATAATAGGAAACTTTAATGACTTCTAATTCTACTTCAATATACAAATAAGAAACTTAGACTTTTGACCACTAAAATTATTTTAGACATAATAAAACTCATATATAATAATCCATTTAATAACTTAATCCAAAAATAAAACCCAAGGGCGACTCCTGCAACTCATGTCCTACAATTATTGGAATTACCATTATACCCTGAATTACTAAAACCTACTATAATGACATGAAAACTCAAAATAATTTCAAATCTTTAATTCTTAATGACCTAAATGTGCTAAATGTGAAATTCCATGTTTGCTCTTCTTCTTCTTTCCGTGATCTTCATCACATATATTCTGCTAAATACAAGTACATATCAAGGCAACAGTTTCTTGTCTCCAAATATTCTTAATTTGTTCTGTGGTCTTTCTAATCCATAAGGCAAAGCTGAAAGCTGATCAGAGTTCGGATTTCTTTTCTATCTAAAATCTAATAATTCAATGATACAGATGGTTCACAACAAAAGTTTATCATAGTATCATAGCTCTAGAAGTAGGTAGTTAATCTCCTAAGCCAACTAAGGCATGAACTATTATATCCAGGGCAGTAAACAGCTAGACTGTGTTGATCTGGTTGGTTTCTTAAATACTATTTTTAGATCATGATTAAAATCCAAATAAAACAGAGCAGCATGCATCCACACACATACATTCTGAAATCTGAAGTATCATCTAAGTGAGACCCAGCAAGGCATAAATCTCAGTGAACTGCCTATTGCTCTAAGAATGACAGTCATCAAAATAAATCATAATCCGGGATTTTGGAGAAGGCCACTTAGCCATGGATTTTTCTTTAGGTCTTGTGTTATATCAAATCATATAGCATTATATCTAGCCATACAACTGAAGCACCTCAAACCATGTTATTAAGGGCGCCCCTTCCTCCTCTCTCTCTACTACCTCTAAGAAAACAAGGACAAAAACAATAAAATTAAAGGGAACTAAAAGGGAAAAAACAAGGTTTCGCATGCCATTGGATTCGAACTACTAAACATTTGAATAACTATATTGGAACAACACTGCCATGACACATTAATTTTGTGTCAGGGATCAAAGTTTCCATTCCACTATGCCGGCCAGTCTCTGTCAAAAACAATTTTACCAATTAAACCAAGCAATGACAATCAATAACACTTAAGATTTAAATATTTAAGTTACTGAAAGTATTAATTTTAGCATTCTGATCCTAGGATTCATGTAGCCAACCTACCTAAATGAGACACAAGACTTGGTTTGGTTTGGTTTGGTTTAGGCTGTCAAAGAAATAATGCATATTAGAACACATTGCCTAAAAAAGGTTATAATAAGAGGGTCAGTTCCTTTAAACTTGATATGCATATCAGAAGGAATAATGACAAAATTGTGCACAAGTGCCTGATTATGAATAGCTAAAAACATCAGAACTAATATTATGTACCTGAGAGAATCTCATCCTTGGCAAAGGCATCTATTGCTGCGATAAGAAAAAACTGTGGAAGCACCAACGACGAAATCAACGCAACAGGAGCCAAAATCCAGAGAAAGGAGCCAGTACTTTCCTTGAAAGGGGCCGATACCAATTTACCTTCTTCAACCAACTGGTGAGTCAAACCATGAAATGACACAGAACCTGATTTACCACGAAAAGGTTCCGGTTCATCAACCCCATTTACACGCAACTTCGTCACGTCCTTTCCTGAGAAATTCAACTTCCCGTCCTGATTAGAATTGAAAACACATACAACAATTCCTCCTTTACTGAAGCTCCAACCAGAAGAGTCCCTTCTTGTCCTCTTCAAACCACCAAGCAAATTAACTGAACAAAATTCCCAGTAAGAGAAAAGCCAGTCTATAGTTTAAACCCTCGTTTGGGTGCAGAGAAAGAAAGTAAAAGAAAACAAAAGTTTCAAATGGTTTAAGTTTGTTGTTGCTTTGATTTTGAAACCTAATGTGAAAAGATTTCTAATTCTGTTCTTTTAAGAATATTTTCTCAGGAACCAAACATAGAGTAAAAGGGTAATTAAGTGAAGGAAAGAAAGAAAGAAATCATATACATTTGTATGCATTTTGGAGCCAAAGTGTTCGGTCCTTGAACCCGATATGACTTCTAGATGTCTCGGAACAGACAGAGAACGAAGGAGAAACCTAGAAAAAATGAAAATCAAAATTGAAAGTGAGAAATTAAGGATGAGAGAGCGAGAGAGCGAGAGAGTGATTGATTGAAACTGTTAATTTGGAGAAATTACTCACAGTTTGAGGAGAAAGCGAACGTTGATTAGAAGATAATCTGATGTTTGGGGCGTGAAGCCTACAACAAGCTGACTGCAACTCCATCCTCTTCTTCTTCTTCTTATTCTGGCTTCGTGTTTTTATTTCTGTCGAGGGTTTTAGCGGAATCCGGTCTTCTACTCTTCTCTAGCCTTTTCGACCGCTTAAACCCCTAAATCAGTTTTATTTCATTTTATTTTTTGTATTTTTTTTTATTAAATTTTTTTAATATTTTAAATAATTTTTTTTAAAGTACAATATTTGTGAAAAATATTTTTAAAAATTGCTAAATGCCAAAAATATAAGAAAAAATATGAAAATTCAGTATATTTTTCATATTCTTGTGTAGTTATTGATTTTTTTAAATATTTTTTTTACAAATATTTTACTTTTTAGATATATCTAAGTAAGGTACATCTAAAAAAATAAAAAACATGACTTAAAATTTTAAAAATATTCATTAAAAATTAAAAAAATATGAAAAAAAAAACTTAGGCTCCGTTTGGTAAGCCTCTCAAAATATAGTTTCACCCATTGGTTTGACTGTGTTGTTTGTTTGGAGCTTTTAAATCATAATTGTACATTCATTTCTCAAAACTCAATTTAAAACATAATCATTACTTTTCAAAACTCATAACCAAACACATAATTCAAAACTCTTTTCAAAACTCAATTCAAATCAATGTTTTAATTTTTTAAATATTTTAATTTTGTTAAGATTTTAAATATTTAAATATGTTACGATTTTTTAATTTTTTTAATTTTTTGAATATTTTTAAATATTTTAATTTCAAAATATTACGATTTTAATTTTTTAAATTTTAAAATATTTTATAAAAATAAATTCAAACTCTATTTTATAAAAATATTTTTAAATATTTTAATTTTTTTGTTATGTATTTGGTTACGATTTGAGTGTAGAGTTGTGAAAGTAGTATGGAGTTTCGAGTTATGTGTTTGGTTATGAGTTTTAAAAATAATTTTTTAATTGAATTTTGTTTTATGTGTTTGGTTACGATTTGAGTGTAGAGTTATTTTTAAATTTAAAATATTAAAATTTTAAATTATTTTAATTTTTTAAATATTTAAATTATTTAAATTTTTACGATTTAAAATTTTTGAATATTTATTTTAATTTTTTACTTATTAAATTTTTTAGATTATTTAAATTATTTAAATATTTATGATTTAAATTTTTTGAATATTTATTTTGAAAAAAATTTATTTCATTTGTAGTATTTTCAATTAAAAAATTGATTAATGTTATTTTCTATTAATAATAGATCAGAATTTTCAATAGTGTGAAAGTAGTGTGTTTTGTTATGAGTTATAATAATTTGAATTAAGTTTTGAAAATTCTTTCCAAAACTCGTAACCAAACAAATTTTCTTACTTCACATGTCAAATCAAACTTTCAAAACTCAATCCCACACTCAATTCAACAATCTATCGAAAACCATAACTAAACAAATTTTCTACACTCAAATCATAATTTCACAACTCACAAACTTAAAATACAACTCCTACTCTCAAATCATGTAGAGTCTTGTAAATATGATTGGAGAGTATGAGTTGTATTTTGAGTTTGTGAGTTTTGGAATTATGATTTGAGTGTGAAAAATTTATTTGGTAAAAAAGTTTTGAAATGAGTTTTGAAAAGAGTTTTGAATTGAGTGAAAAAATTTTGATGTGACATATAATATTTAATACAAAAATTTACAACTCATAACCAAATATACAACTCAAAATTCTATTAAAGTACATAAAAAAATTTAAAATTCAAAATTTTTTTTTTCAAATATATAAAAATTAACATATCAATTGTAAAAAAAAAAAATTTTGCACTGTTCCGGTCAACCAGCCAGACGACCAGTTAGGCCAAATTTCAAAAAAAAAAAAAAATTAAAAATCACGCTCTCAGACAGAGTTTTCTGTAGAATTGTGGAAAATTAGTTCCACATACCTATTCAAACATCATATTAAAATGTGGGAGTAAAATCAACGTTTGAAAATCGTTCCAAACAGAGCCTTAATTTTCAGAAAATTAAATCAAAAAAATTAAAATCAAACCCAATGAATAGAATCGATTGGTAGGATCAAAAATAAGGCCCAATAACTACAGCAATGATTGAGGGCCACAATTTTTGTGGCTCAAATGGCTCAAAATTGCTAAAACGACGTCGTTTTGAGTACAAAACAACTTCAAAATTGTCAAAACGACGTCATTTTGGCAATTTTGAGTCATTTGAGCCACAAAAATTGTGGCCCTCAAACATTTTCCCAATAACTATTTAGCACGTTGCATACTGTTTAACCGTTTAATTGGATATTTATATTTCCATAACAATGGTATATTTTTTTTTAAAAAATAAACGATTTATATGATTTTGATAATTTTTTTTAAATAATCATAATTATAAATTTTTAATTAATTTGATTATTTACATAAATATACTCGACAAATTCTACGATACGAAAAATTGAGATTATTAA